CTTTCCAAATAATAATTTTTCATTCAGAAAAAATAATAAAAAATTATGGTTGTTCATGGTGCATATTAAACATCCGGTTACAATTTTCCGATACGGCGTATTAGTATATTTATTTATTAGTCTCTTAGCTCTAACTACCCGGCTTTTTTTCGAACATTTTATTAAAAACTAATGATTAATCTTCAATTACTTTATAATTTTTTTATAGCATTATAGTAGAAGGTTCAAAGGCAGTATATGAATTTTTACGAATTTTATTTATCACACTAAGTTAGTGAAAAACGCGCAGGACGAAACTGAATCAATTTTAGTCTCAGTGTACCAAAAATACCATTATTGGGCAAGAGTTAATATCATTCATTATTTTCGTTGAGAAAATTTGAGTTGGCATTGGAAACATCGATAATTTATAGTGTTTACAAATTATTGTTAGTCTTTAGAGTAACAGACTCTTTCAAAAAATAGAATAAAAATCCTTTTGGCAAGTATTTGAAAAGTAATCTATAGAATAAGTAGAATCAATAATAGTCTCAGATTTTTAAAATACAGTCCAATGAAAAGTTAGAAAATGAAACGCAACAGATAAAACGTTAATTTATGAATGTTAAATTTATTAGGTTACCTATATCTATCATTAGTAGCAGATAATAAATATACGATTATAATTTATTTCGATATACCATACTATATTACGTACGTTCCAACGTCCGAACGATAAGAATCTTTCCATTGTCTTTAGATTCAACTGCATATGAATGGATAAGAGTATAAGGAACTTACCTACTTGCGTGATAAATTACGTGTGTAAGGCACTCAAAATCAGTAAAGATTATGCATCCAAATTTTCAGACTCGTGTTATTGACGAAAAATCTCAACACGCACAATTCTTGTACGCAACAAAACTGAATGCCGGAAAACATATCAAAAGTTTTTTTAAATTGCCTTTTTAGTTAATTAATTTTGCGGGTATTTCCACTATTATATTCGTCATCAGTAAGTCAAAATACGTCAGAAGACAAAAAACCATACTTTTCGGAGGTATACGCTTTTCAGAACTACATCCCCTGTCACATCTCTACAGAAAACTGGGATACGTTACCTTTACTGGTTATGAAAAATCTCAAAACATATTTTTCAAAAATAGAAATTCCCTAGAATCATTCGTTCCTAGTCATGTGCCTTGGGCCACGCATGAAACTCTTAGGCCTTGGGCCTCGCATTTATTGCCAATAGAGCGCTATGAATTCTGTTTAAAATAAATAAAAAGAAAATCAAACGATACTCAAGCATCCAAGAGAGGTTAGAAAATCACAGTATACACATCTAATGACAAATTCATGCTACAAGTCGTAGCATTGAAATACACGTGTGCTCAACGTCACACGACATTACCAAATCAATAGAGGTTAGGATGCTCTAACGACTGGACTTACCTCGTATCGGAAAAGGCTTTGTTTGTATAGTATCTGACGTAGGTGGTGTATAATGCATTCCGAAATCCTGTTCAGACATGTTTGATCTTGTCTCAAAAAGTTTCACTAGATTTAAAAACCTTTAATGCCCCTAAATATGTGACAGAAACCTTCTTTATTGAAGAAACTCCTAACGATGGATTTTCTGATGTCGAACCACACTCCTCTCCTCACAAACAACTTTGCCCAAACTGCAAATGTATGTTTCGTTTATATTAATCTTCTCTCGCCCTCATCGAAGCGTGACTACGATAACAGTCATTGATTTAATAAAATAAATTAACTCCGACTGATAAAAATCGGATCACGGATTAACAAAAGTCATGACTTTGCCAGATACTGATGCACTGTTTCACGAAACGCAGTACACGCCGTATAATGTCGTATTGATAACAACAACGTGCACTACTCAGCACTGCTTCAGCGACGGTTCTTGACTGCAAGCCCGCCGAACTGAAATTTAATGCGATCCACTCCTGCAGTAGTTTTAATTCTGTATTGTCGCACCAGATGGCGATGTTGATTAGCGCCAACGCCGACGAATCACACGACTCTAATGAATCACGCGATTTAAATTACGTCAATGAATCACACAAATGTATTGTTTTTAAATAACAATAAAGCTCCAAGAGTATTTAACGTTTTATTTCGATTATTACAATAACAATTTATACGATACTGTCTAAGTGAACAGTTTACGTATTACGTATAACATGAGAACACTATAGTCATATCTTGAAAAGTCCGCTGTTTTGCTAAATAATTACTATCTTACTAAAAAAAACCTATTGAAAAATAGTCATGTGGATTTATTCTTTTTGAACTTTACTTGTAAGTAGTTAACTCAGTTATATAGATTTGATCAATTACTACGTTTACATCAAGCACAACTTGAAGTTAATGCTTCTTGATGCTGGTTTATTCTCTTAAAGTCGTCTTTTGAAATAAAACCTAATTAGTGGATCAAATTAAGTATTTTTTTTGTAATAATCTGACTAGATATAATGAAAATCAATAGCAAGGGGAAAATTGTGTACATATGTAATATTTAATTATTCTGTTTATAAAAAAATGTAAAACAATAAAAAACAATCATTGCATAATGTATAATTCTATTCCAAATATAGTATGTGCTAACAGTACTGTTAGCATATAAATTTAAAAAGATGTAATTTTAATTTTTTCATTTATATCATGATTTCCCATAAATATCAGAAAATAAAGTATACATTTATTATGAAACAGCACAATATAATTCCGTATAGATTGAAACATTAAAATACAGATTTATCATTTAAACGACTGAGTTAACGTAGGGCGACTCGACCAGTGAATGAGCAGCTAAACCAATGAATTAGCGCTTGCATTTTCATTTATTTTATTAAACTAAAAGCAATAAGATTCAATTTATACATCTTTAATGTGTACAAGGTTCAACCGCAACTAGAACAATTATTCCTTTTGCAGAATTATTCGGTTACACAAGAAAATATAGAAACATGTTCTAATTCACTAATACGTGTTCATTTACTGGCATGCTTACCCTAATACAACACAAAACTATTTCATTGATCATTTCGAAATCTTTCTTTTAAAGCCCACCAATAAATAGACCAATAGCCCTATTATCTAATCTGTAGCGGCAGTTATCGGTATCGTTAAGTAACAATACTGTATTTTATCCAATAGCAACAGTTTCTTTTTTGAAGGACTTACTAGCGATTGCGTAAAATTTAGTTATTGTTATTCAACGATATTGCCAATTGTTGCTATGAATTATAAATACTAGGAAATTTACTCTTAGTGCACATGGAATGTAGTGAGTCAAAAACGCTATAAGAGTGTGCTGTAAAAAAATGCCCTTTGTGTCCAGAAATGTATTGATTCAAATTTTCTTAACCTCATAAGTTTATAAATAGATAATGAATTGTTCTTATTCTATGATAATAATAAAAAACCACTAAAGTCAATTAAAAGATATAAAAAGTACTATTTGGATTAAATGAATATGATGCTCTTTGATATTACTATTTAAATTCTTGTAATTAAAAAACATTTCTTTTTAACACTAAATGTACCATTGACTGGTCATTTGACCGTTTTAAATCCAAAAATACGTTTGTAAAAAATTTTCGGTATGTTTAATGTTAATATCAGATGCTAATCGAGTGATTCCGCATCATAGACACTAGGTGTCTAGTATCCATATCATTGTAAAATTTAAGAAAAATAAGGCGCAGGGTTATTCTGTAAGTGGAGTCTTTACTGCATGTTGTTTTTACGAGGTAATCAGAAGAGTTAAAAATCTGAAGAAATACTTGTGTGGATTGTTGGTACAGTTCAGGTCAAAACTGCCAACAAAAATGACGATGTACAATGAGCCTTTGGGACTTTCAGGAACTTTGACACTGTCAGAGATTACAAGGGCCGTACCCAGCATGTTCGGAGCCTAAGGCAAATTAAGATTTTCAGCGCTTTAATATATTTCTTCGATATCATCGTGACACCTTTTTCCAAACTGCCTAAGGCGGTTTGCCCCTTGTCAGTGAACACGGCTCTGGATATATTAGAAATGTATGATTGATTGACAATGTTTGGTTGGCCGTGATTAATCAAATGTATTTTATAAGCAAATAATACTAACCTTGTTACCTAAAGTTTTTCCTAATGGCGTACACTCTGTTCTAATAACCACGACGCCATGCAAATTTTGTACAAATTACTTTGCGTAACACACGTAGAAGCATAAACTTTGTATCTTCAATGTTGCCAATAGAGTTAGAGATGTAAAAAACATTGTCTTTAATGTTATCAATTTTTAAATATTAAACAGCTCGTTTATAAATAGAAGTGGTAAAAGACAGTGCATTTAATCTATGATTTCTAGTTTTTGAATTAAACGTGCGATGGACGCACTAGGGTGAAAATATAGGACAGTTCTCTCTTAAGGAGAGAATTCTAATCTGAAAATTTAAAAAAATGAATTTTATTTTTTTGGCACGTTTTAAGTATAGGGCCGCGACAGTATGGCATTAAAATACAAGTAGTAGTTTAAATTTCATTAAAAAATATCGAGTAGTTTTTTCTATTCCTAGAAATCACCTTGAAAATCGATTAATAAAGTAGAATACCTCTTTAACTACCTATAACAACCATCTGCGGTCCTTTTAACTGATCACAATAGAAAAAAAAACTGTCATTAACAGTATTCTAATTATGATTGCGGTTTTTTCGGCTCTCATGAAATTGTTCATTATAAGTTACGGGAAAAAGGTAAATCAAATTGCACAGTGTCTTGTTTCTTGAATAATAAAAGCGGCTCGGATCACCATTATTACTGTGATATCCTATGTATCATAAACTTCAAGACATTTTTCATAAGAAAATTAATTGCGGTTATTAAATTTTAGCCAATTGCATCGATTGATTTCGACCGTTAAAAAATCAGTCGATGTCATTGGACTGAATTTAATAACCGCATCGTGGTTAAATTACGGAATATACATTAAATTATAATCAGCATATAGTATAAGACTTTAACTAGATGGTGGGATTAATCTGATAAAGAATAGCGCGCCCAATACATACGGAGACTCATCCCAGATTGGTAGTATAGGAAAACTCACCCTGTATGCTTACAGTCTTCCAATTATACATTCGTAATATACAGCTCGATATGTGAACCAAATATTTCTATATTTCTGAATTTTATACTCACAGAAGGTATGTATATGTAATCAACTTTAAAATAAATTGATATATAAGAAGCATATGGGATGTTTTCATAATTCACAGTTGCTTTGCATATTTTAGCATTTCTTGCAAATAGGTTAAATTCTCAAAATTGCCTATTGGACCCGAAACAGGTACGTAAAATTGCATAATATAATTGTTATAAAGCACAGACTAATTTAAAAATTGATGTATTTATTGTTGCAATAGGAAATGGATCTTATTCGCACAATTCCTGTTGTTATCGAATGGACTTTAGATTCTTCGACAGATGAGTCAAGCGACGAAGATCTTACAATTTCTCTTAGCTTCTTCTAAAAGTTTTGTAGCATAGACAGTATCTGTAAAGGTTAATAATTTGTGAATTGCACAAATAAAACGAAGGGAGGCAATGCCAAAAATATGATTATTCGCACCAAAACAAAAGAGAAGAAAATAAGATGATCAAAAAGCTATCACTTACCATTTTGTGCCCATACTGATTCTTCAGGTGTTACACATATTTCATATAAAATGTTTGTTTTGCCGTCAATTAAACTGATCTTCACCATTTTTGCCGCCTTTTATTGCAGGGAGTGGGAGACCACTGGGAGTACCTTACCATGGGAGCTCAGGCGCTTACAGTGAAAAAATGGGACAAACCTATTACGTCATTAAAGTTACTAGGCACTGCCGCAGTGCACTGTACTCCAATATCGGAATGAAATCTGCAGTACTGGCAGCACTGCCAGGTTATATCGGAACACGCCACATATCTGAGAAAATATAATTGAATCGCTAGGGGGCGACCGTAGCCCAGTGGATAGGGTAGCGGATTCACGACCGAAAGGTTGGAGGTTCGCGCCCAGCTTCCAGCGGCATTCACCAATCGGTTTTCATATGAAAACTTTTAAGTGAATATTTATACGGATTTCGCCCAACACTGTTCGGATTCGGTGTATAAACTTTGTACGTCCCTCACGCAGAGTTGAATAAGGCCCCGTCTCGCAAGGTACATCGCCATCTAGTGTCGAACTTCCAACCTTGATGATTAGGACCAGTTACTGGCACATGTCCCCCATTGGGGATACAGCCATAAGGAAAAGAAGGAAGGATAATTGAATCGCTTATAACCTAATAAGATTAAGCTAGATTTCACTTTACATTGGGTGATTTTGAGGTTAGATGTTAGCAGAACTGGCGAGATCTGAAACCTGATCTGAACGACCAAATTTTCGCAAAATGGAGAAATTAGATATAATGATAACTAATTCCTTTCTCTTGGGCAAATATTGTGTTAAATGTAAAATCATCAAAATTGTGGAAAATGAAGAGCTAGTTTATACAAATGGATACGTCCTGAGAATTTTTGACATTGTCGCAGGCTTAGTAGAGACTGATTTTGAGTATATACTTGGAATATGCTGTGCACATAACATTATTTAAAAGAAAAAACATTCACATATGTTAATTTTAGAACTTTTGTTTTCTAAAGATTAAAGTAATATATTTTTCAACATAATATTTTGACAAGTTTTCCTCGTTACACATTATTTTAATTTAGTTTAGTTTGTTTAAACGATAAAACTATACCTAAACTGATTTTAATTTTCCACAGCCATTATTTTTTCATAAAGAGCAAAATACATAATATAATAAATCACATTTTACAAACATATATTTATTTACCTATTCGTACAATAGATTAATTTTTGTTATATAACGTGAAATATGTAACAATATCATATAAATAGTTAAAACTGAAAAAGCTATCTCTGACTCAAGAGATTGTTATAATTTTAAAAATTATTAATAATAGATGGAAAGATAAGAAATCCGGAAAATGTAAAGCCACAGTAATATTCTATGCAATCAACATATTAAAACACAACCCTGTGATAAAATAAACATAACTTCGACAAATATAATAACTGGAATTTGGTTAGAAATCCATGTACTAATAAAAAGTATGTATTTTTTCTATAAGAAAAATTCAATCGGTATTACATATTAATAATTTTAACTAATTGTTGTACTTTTCTAAAAAAGGGTTAATTATTTCCACAACTGCATGAGGATTTGTCATATGCAAATGATGTGTTCCAGGTACTTTGTGAAAACTAAAATACATATTATTCTCTTTTATAATGTCTGCAACTTCAAGAACATTTTTCATTTTTTCAACATATTTTGCGTCTGTTGCTTTAATCACGAGATAAGGATTTTTAATTTCCTTAGCCATATCCTTAAAAACGTTTTGACCATATGCAAATGATGAAAGTGTAAGAAATTTTAATACGGGATCTCGACTGAAATATACAGTACCATCAGCCTTCTTTCTAGTACCACGTATAATTAGTTCTTTACAGCTTTGTTCATCAATACTGTAATTAGAGCTTTTCCGCCATCGATTTATTGCTTCGTCTTCAGAATAACTTGGCACTGAAGATATTGGCAGATACTCAATCTCCAAGAATTTCTTCAAATTTTTACGAAACTGTCTAAGAATAGAGATATACATATAATAGAGTAATACAATTAAATGTTTATATGTACTATGCAAAGAATGTTGTAATGAAAAAAAAAACGTGTAGGGCTGTATTCATACCTCCCTCATATAACATCTCTGAAACTGAAGGTATCGTTAACCAATGAATATCCAGATTTATCATATAATTGATTTTTGATTGATTAAAAGTATAACTAGCTTAACAAATGCGGCGAGAGAAATATGAATTTAAAGTTTATAGTCTGCATTTACATAACAATCTTTTTACTGCCCTGTAAATATTCATTGGTCTATGACAGCAACTAACCTGGTATTCGAATCAATATCAAGAGAGGAATGTTTGGCATCGATACTGATTACAAATTCAATTTCATCGTTAAATAATGAGGAATAAGTAAACGAGACTATTCCACCAAGAGAGTGTGCCATTAATTTGATACTTTCCCATCCAAAATGGTTTTTCACACATTTAATTACATGTAAATAAATAATTTCACTGTATATTATCCCAGAAGGCAACCAACTAGAATGACCATGACCTGGCCAATCAATTGCCAGAATTGAACAATTTTGTAACAATGGTGCCAGGTTATTGAATGAGCCTGCATTATCCTGCCAACCATGAAGAGCTAGTATTGGCTGTTGATTATCATGACCCCATAGTTTACCTAGAAAGTTATGATTTTAATATTGATACAGCTAAGTTCTAACAGAACATAGTAGAAATATACAGATACATTTTGTTTATAAAATTGTAATACATCGTACCTAATATGACAAGAAAAAGCTAGAAATTTTTTAATTTATTGTTTAAATATCTTTTTATTATGGTAAATACAAAACTGCTATCTGTCTCTATAATTCTGGTTGCATAGTATCAAGTAGTTTAATTATAAATTATTAGTATTTCGTCGCAAATGACAACCAATTGTAACCTTATAAAAAAGTTTGAAAACAAGAAAAATATTACAAATATTAATCATAGCTCGTCATACCTACTCCTGTGTACCAAGGGAAACAATGTATTTTTACCTGTTGTTTGTAACAAGTTTTATTGTAAATGTTATAATTTTTAAACAAATTATTTTGCTGTTAGGTTATGATTTATTCTTGTTAATCAGGGTGTGGCGTTTCGATTTCTTTATGATTGAAACCAACAATACCTCTTTATTCCAAAATTATAGAGTAATGAAATCATCGGTCTGACAAATCATATGTGAAGGCGTAAGAATAAAAAATTAGATCTAACGAGCTAGAGTAAAAAAATCAAATGTATTTATACTTTACCAGTAATTTTTCCTCATGAAATAGGAATTTCAATTTCGCGCACGGGTTTCTTATACAAATCAACTTTACTATTAAATAACCTTTTACAAAATAAATTTCGCACAGAAGTTGCCGTTCTTAACATTTTGATAATATAACAAACGCTTTTGATAAATATAAATACACATACAAATATAGAGAATAAAAATTCACAGTAAATACATGACTGGCTAGTTGCATATAAGAAAAAAAGCGCTTGAAAATCTGCTGCAAACGAAATTCTATTGTGTGACTGAGAACGCGTGACAATGAAGTAGTAAAGTAGATATGTAAAGAGCTATAGAAGCAATTGAAGTGTCTTCTACGCCCGTTTTCTTTGACGCGATTCAATGCATAAACTCAGTTTAACTATATTATTAGCCAACGAGACACTTTGTATTCTGAAGATAAACCGACCCTAGTGTTGCTAGACAGTCAAGTCGCGATAGTGGCCGTTGATAGCTAGGATAGTATCTATAATCAGAGATGAGTAGGGAGATTGCCACTAACCAAACTTTTGTGGCCTCACTTTTATTAGAGGGAAATGAAGCTGATTAAGTGAAAATGAAGAGAGTGAGTAATTCACCCAATTACGATCGTTCTCAATTTTTGAAGAGACGAAATTGGTTTTATTAATTGACTCGACACGAAATTTCATGTCGAAAATCATCATGCGCATGAATAAGCATGATTAGCTCGAAAAATAGCCTACATGAAAATCAATAGCAAAAAAGCAAGTTATCGGAAATAATGTTGTTTTTCTACAATAAATAATTTAGTGTCATAATGTATTTGCGAAATCGAGAAAATATAATGCTCAGAATTCGACGAACACTACGCGATGTCTCCGACCCATTTGAAGAGAAAACGAATTCCACAACTTTTATAGGTAAATACTACTATTTATATTTTTCTAAAGTATACATTTGCATTAAAAAATAAAAAATACAGATATAACAAATATGCTCTAATTCTTTCAAAATCTATAAAAGATTATTTATGGAAGCTTTATTGGTATTTATACATTTGGAGGTTATGTATTCAAGTAGCCTTCGTGAAAATGTAAAATCCCTATGCCGGAAGTGTCTAGTTATTTCACGTTTTCACTTACAGAACCGTAATTCGGTGACTAATTCGCGTCATATAAATATGCGAAAAGAGGGTATATTCCACTTACGTCAAGTTAACACTGTTACTTTTACTTTTTAAATATTTTCTTTCGCCAAATAATTGTACGTTTTATGGTGGTTTTTGGTGGACCAATTAAAAAATTTGGTCTCCCATTTTTTTGGAAAATGGAAAATAAAATTTAGAGTGTGAAGTTAACCCCAAAAGTCTTATTTTTCACAAACAAATGTCTTTTTTTATATGTAATCAATGCCAAATTGTTTGGCGGTCACAAATTACCTAATTCTAAAATTTGGGGGTCAGTGGTTTCGTTGAAAAAAAATTTTGCTCTGATTAAAAGCTTCCTGAGCAAGATCGGCTTATAGCCAATTTCTTCACCTTCGAATAAAATTTAACCTACGGATAAACTCCTAAAACATGAAAATGATTGGTTACCTGGGGATTTATCCGCAGGTTAAATTTTATCCGAAGGTGAAGAAATTGGCCATAAAGTTTTTCGTCGTGGTATAAACTCCGCCCAATTTTTTGTATCAAGGTTTGGCATAAGTAACGTAACCAATAATGTGTAGTTCTTAAGAATAAACTGACTTGATAGGTAAAGTCAGTGTGTGTTCTAAAACTGGCTGCCAACATTAGTCTATCTCTTTTTTTTTGTTATTTATAAAACAAAGATGCTCAATAAGTTTGGGAATGCATTCAGTGTTTATCAATGGATGCGTTCAGCAGAAACACCACTGAGGGGGTAAATACATATGATTGCTCGACTCTCACAAGTGTTTCAAGATTAACGATCAAATGACCAATCAAATGTATTTGCTCTCTCAGCGGGTTCTGCTGAACGTACCCAATCACGTTGATTTATTTTTATAAGCTTTGCACCATTCGTTAACTCTACCCTACCTTTATATGTGTTGGATAGAACATATGTGACCGGTTATATAAGATTCAAATATTAAAAATGAGTATCAACCGCAATTGACAGTCATCAGCGGAGTATCATTATTTCATTGTGATCTGCAAATACAATAGCGAGTATTAGTCAGTACCTAAGCGTGCAATTATGGCAGATGCCATTCTAGAAGAAGAAAAAGCAGATAATGTGCAAGTACAAGAAGGCGTAAAAGTACCATATATCCTTCGAGGTGAATATTTTTGTATATTAGAAAAAGCGGACACCAAAATTAAGGCAAAATGCAAAATTTGTATGGATGGAAAAGGTTCTTTGTCTGGCGGTATCCGGTCAACCGGAAATTTTATCAGACATTTAAAGGTAAGTCTATACTCAAAATGTATTATTATAAATATATAAACATTGTAATTGTATCTGCTATTACATACCAGGCAGCTACAATTTCTTAAGATCTTGGAGAATGTGGAATCATTTTAGGGTTCATAAGTTAATGTTGTAATAAATTTTGATGTTATCTGTATTCTTGTACAGAGCCATTTAAGAGCATTGTAAATATGATTTATGCATTATTGTTAAGTGGGTTATGCTTAACTTTTCATACATATATTGCAGTAAATGATTGTGTGGCACTACAAAAAATATTTGAATCATAAGACTGATCTAAAGATAAAAATGAAAACGTCAAAAAACAAAGATCACTCCCAATCCAGTGTAAAGGCATGGGTAAAAGGTTTCCATTCTGTAGTATCAAAAATAAAGGTATGTATAATTTGCTTATTAAATGTTCCTGTAGAAAAAATTCAATGTAATCTCAATGTTATAAAACCTTGTACCACAGCATAAAGCTTGCAAATGTATTCCTTATAAATATCTAAACAAATTTGAAACTGCAACATTAGGATTTTTAACTGGATCAGAGTGGTGGAGGTCGATTCGACCCAGGCCAACCACACGTTAAAGTGCTAAAAAAGAGCCCTACAGTGATTGAGTTAAGAAAGTATTTAATTTAATTGAGCATATTAAACATGTGTAATATACATTATAAGTAGCAAGTGTTTAGTGAATGAATCATCTGTCGTCAGACCGACTAGTTAAACTAAATTAGAGTACTCTATTCCATGAATCATTGGTGGATATTTTTCAGTTGTTATATAAACCTTACTTCATAGGACAATCTTAATAATAGGTTGATATCTCGCTACAATATTATCTTAAAAATCATGTTTCTTACAGTTATTGCAGTTGGTGGCATCTTACATTATAGCAGAAATGAGACCTGTGGTTACTGTAGAAAAGCCAGCATTTAGGAGCCTTATTAAACAGCTTTCGGAATTGACACCTCCAAGTAGACAGGCTGTAACTAATTACTGCATTGAGTTAGAGGAATCAAAAAAGACTGCTCTGAAAGTAGAGTTGCAAGCAGCAAAATACTGCTGTACCACTGCTGATATTTGGAGTCATCACAGTCGAAGCTTCATAGGAGTAACAGGCCATATCATAGATAAGGATAATTTTCAACGAAAATCGTATTTGCTTGCATGTCGTAGAATGAAGTTCTCTCATAACTTCTTAGATATAGCTAAAACTCTGTTGGATATTCATGAGGAATATGATCTTCAAGCTTCAAAACTTGTTGCGACAGTGACTGATAACGCTTCTAATTTTGGAAAAGCTTTCTGAATCTTTCAAATGCCTTGCGCAGTAAATTCAGAGGATGAAGAGGTTTTAGACGATCCGTTGCAATCGGAAATGGAGATAGTTCCATTACCCAATAATCTTCGCGATTTTGTAAGTGAAGATTATACTGGCATTATGGAAGATGCCAACCAGTATTTACCAGAGCATTTCAAATGTTGCTCACATACATTGAATTTGATAGCAACAACTAATGCTGCCAAAGCCCTAGAAGATCGAAATTATAAGCGAGCCTACCAATCAGCATTTAGCAAATCATTTAGCCTCTGGAATTTGACTTTGTTAAACTTTCTATACCATGTCCAACTAGATACATATGATGTCTACATATGATAGTTTATCTAAGCTCTTGTCTATAAAACAATACCTTCCAAGTCTCTGTGAAAAGCTAAAAGTGCCTAAGTTCAAAGTTGCAGACATAGAATTCTTAACAGAACATTTGGCAGTAACAAAACCTCTTGCTTTGGCAATAGATATTCTTCAAGGAGAAAAAAATTGTTTTTTTGGCATTGTGTTGCCCACTGTTGTGCAGTTACAACAATCACTGGCACAAAATACACATTTAACATATTGTACTGCGCTTAATGAAGCATTGTTAGATGGCTTGAGAAAACGTTTCGGATATGTAATGGATTTTCATAACACAGCGAGTAAGCCATTTATATTAGCAACGATAACTCATCCAAAATTTAAAGTGCGGTGGATATCAGCATTGTTTGAAAATGAGCAATCTCATGCAGGACAAATATGTCAAAATTTGCCTTTTGAACAAGCCGAAGCAGTACGTGAATCTTTGCAATCGAGAGAAAACTCCGGGTCTGAAGAAAGTATGACGCTCTCCTCCGATGATGATACTAACAAGAACCCCCCCAACCCGACCCCACCGATTTCAATAATTTTTTGATATGTTGTAGTACTCGACAAAATAAGAGACACGTATTTTTTTTTTGTGCTGACATCCACTTTAAAGGGGTGAAAACGACCCCTGAAATTCACCCCCGAAAATCGTTTTTTCATCATATCTCGACTTCTAATTAATATTTTTTAATAAAACCAAGTGGAAAATATTTGTCATAAGAAGTCGAAGATATGAGGTTTGTTAATGACCCAAGGGGTTGCAACCCTTATTTTATATTTTGAAAAAACTATATTTTTTATGCTCTTTTTCTGCATAAAAACCGGGGTATGCGCTCAAAAAAATAAAGAAAAGCGTTTCCGTTAACTCCATCAAATATTTCAGTTGGGGTGTTTCAGGATTTTTCAAAGGGATAAAAACCACCCCTAAATTTTACCCCCGAAAATTGTTTTTCCTCATATGTCAGATTGTAATTGATATTTTTTAATAAAACCAAGTGGAAAATATTTGTCATAAGAAGTCGAAGATATGAGGTTTGTTAATGACCCAAGGGGTTGCAACCCTTATTTTATATTTTGAAAAAACTATATTTTTTATGCTCTTTTTCTGCATAAAAACCGGGGTATGCGCTCAAAAAAATAAAGAAAAGCGTTTCCGTTAACTCCATCAAATATTTCAGTTGGGGTGTTTCAGGATTTTTCAAAGGGATAAAAACCACCCCTAAATTTTCCGCACCCGTTGAAAGGGCGTTTAGTGTTGGTGGTCAACTTTTAACCCCCAGACGTAATAAGTTAACGGATGAAACATTTGAAAGGCTTCTTTTTTGCAAATATAACAGTGGGGTTGGTAATATTTCATAAATTAGATAACTATCGAATATTACGATTTTAATTGCATTTGAGGATTATAATCATAATAAAATTAATAGAAGATAGTTTCTTTATTTATGTCTTATAATTGATGTTAGTACTGTTTTGGTAACGCGAAAGCAGAAAATTGTAACCAGTGATTGTAATAGTGATCCTTCTTTAAATATACATTGCATAGAACCTAATATTCATTCTTCTGATGAAATACAAAATCTACAATTCAATTAAACTTTATTTCTACATTTTGCAAACTGCTATAATGATTCTTTGTGGCGATAGTGGCAGAATCCTTTCTACATTGGGATGTATTTGGTGGTATTTTTTTTGTCATGGTTCGATTCTACAAACCAATCGTAACATCGAAAAAAAGCAGAGGATTTAATTCTAATTGGCTTATGGCTAATTTCTTCACCTTGGGATAATATTTATCTTGCGGATAAACTCCTAAAACATTAAAATGATTGGTTAGCTAGGGATTTATCCGAAACTGAAGAAACTGGCCATTAGGGTCGTTCTACAATGGGAAGTTGTCGGTAGACATTTGTCGTAAGTCATTTCTATATACTAATCAAAATGATTTTTCCACTTTTTTCATTGCTATGGTTGGCTTGTAGAAGCGACTTGCGACAAACGTCTACCGACAATGTCCCATTGTAGAACGTCCCTAATAGAAATGACTTTCGACAAACGTCTGCCGACAACGTCCCATTATAAAATAACCTTAATAACTAGAAAACTCCCCACAGCATTAGGTGCATGCCAATTATTCAATTTGTGCCGACTTTCATTGACACGAAGTCTCGCTATTCGCTATTCGCTATTGGCTCCAACGGAGTATTTGGGAAACAACCAATGATATCGCTTGCGTTGACGTAAGTCTACACAAGTGAGTAATTGGAAACCACAGACTGTTGTCTCGATTAAGGCTCGTGCACAGTTGATACTTTCTACGGAGCACAAAAGACGCTATAAAGAACAGACCTAAAGCTGTGAAAGCCTCCTATATCTTAATTTTTTAATCCTTGGTTTGATCTATGATCTAGATGACCAATTGCGTAATCTTAAATCTAGATTAAAAAATGATAATATCATCTGTATCTGATCTAGATACATTTTGTGGATCAAAATCTTGATCTGCACTAGATTATCTATTTTTTAATCTTGCACAACACTGCTGGCACATGTCCCCCATTGGGGATACAGCCATAAGGAAAGGGAGGAAGGGTAGTCTCCATGTGTATGATTTTGCAATGAAACATAACCTCACATTTCTTATGTTAATCCTAAGTTAATCGAAAAAGAAAATACAATAATACATTTGAAACATTTGATAATTCTTACGATAAAAAATAATCTCATAAGATGATGACTGATATTGGAGAAGCAGCGGCTGTTGAGGTTCAACCCCAGATTGAAACAAGTAAAAGGTAAACAGAATTACTGTTAAAAACAGTTTCCAGAAATAATGAAAAACAATATGTATAGGCAAAATGTTGCTGATGTTTCAAAAGCCGGGAAAGAACTCACTACTGGTATATTGGCTGTGTATCAAGCGCCCTTGGAACAGATACAAAACGAGCTAGGAGAATTAACGTAGGTGTAATCAATGAACAGCAAAATTACTGGAATATTCATTGTATTCCTTTTTCACGATGTAGAAATAAACAGGAAACCCTTATCAGTCAAATGCAAGTGGAAATTAAAAAATTGGGTGAGACTCAAGAGGATATTGATTTAAATGAACTGGTAACAATTTTCAATTATTTTTACAAACTATAGTGTAAAATTCATTTACAGTTCTAGGAGTATTGTTTTGTCCCTGTTTACCTGTATGCAATAGAGTGAAACAAAATCGTGCTCACGTTGTTGACAGTGAAATTCAAAATGTACCTAAAATAAAAATTATTTCTTAATTTTCATTTATTTAATTACAGTTTTCAGCAGTTAAAGTCTATCAGGCGAAATTGGCCTCTATCAAGAAAAAAATACTAATTATTCATGAACGAACTTTCAAATTAAAAGTATGTATATTAGATATGATAATTACATTATACATGAAGTCAATGTTTACAACCGTTTGCCTATGCTGTTGTTAAATTGAATTAATAAAAATCTTCAAGACATAACAGAAAGTATCTTCTCATTAATAAACAATGTTTTTATTGATAGAAGCGTGCCTTACGTCTGCAGCACATGAAACAAAAGGAGGCTTTGACTAGAGAACAACGCGAAAAGGAGCTAATTGGAAAGCCGCTAACAACTTAGTTACTGAATCGAGAAATATTAGTAAAAATTAAAAAATATATAATAATTTTGTGTGTAATAAGAATAAGGAATTGTTCACACACATTATTTTTACCAAACTATTGTCCATCGTCCTCCTGTTTCACATTTATTTTTGGTACCACACAAATAATTAAATGTTGTTTCATTTAGGAAGCCAAGAATTTCTCTATCTTCTTGTATTCGAAATGTAAAAGTAGACTCATAAGTTCCAATGAAGTACCTAAAAAAAAAGGAACTTAAGACGTGTTATAAAATATATATTTAAGATGTTATACCTAAATAAAAATTGCATACCTAGCATATGAACAAATAATCTGATCTATTATGGCCAACCCGCCATCTTTGAATTTTGTCCGTATATAATCTGTTGGTGAGAATCTGATCACTGTGTAGTTTCTTAGCTGTGTCACAAGATCCTCATATTCTATAAAATAATATGTATTTTCAGCATAACATGAAAAGTGTAATATCCACTATACCACCATATGTCACTTTACCATGATCCTTTGCATCTGTAGCCACAAATACTGTTTCTAATTTTAATTCTTTTAATTTCTTTTTTAATTGAGATGCTGCACTCTTTATTGTTGGTACTGTGTCTTTGCGTCCCATGAGAAAGTCTCGTCTTCTTAAATGAACTGCCAAGTATTGTCCACCTACCGCATTTCTTTTTCCCTAAAACAATTCAGTTTAAGAAAGTGATACTCTAATTCAAACTTAATATTTAGATTATACTTTTTCCATCGTCCAGTCATCAGGTCGTTCTGTATTGTCTTTTTTATCATCAGAATTAAGATATTTTTTCCTAAATTCATTTGCTACATTATACAATTCAGAATTATATCGCATACTACGTCTTGCCATCCAATAATCGACTGAGCCATATTCCTTGTGCAATGCTATCTCCATATGATCAAACATGAAAGACCTAAAAAAAATGGTGAAATAATGAGAAATTATATAAGTATTCTACTTTTATATAAGTGTGTTACTCAATAATTTAAAATCATTTTGTTTATTATGCAATATCTTCATTTACCTATGAATTGAAGGTTTAAGATTTTTCATTAATCCAAAAGTGGTACCATGAAATATGATACATTTGACTTCTAATGCTGTAATATTAGAGTATCCCCAAAATCGTCCAGCAAATTTATCATTTATTTTTCTATATGGAAAATTATTTTCTGGACAACTGGCCACTTCATTTTTGTCTACAAATTTACCTGCACTGAACATGTTCTCATCATGTTGTAAGAAGTATACTCGATCCAAAACAATCTCCTTGCGGTCTACAGAATATTCTAGAAAAAGATTATTCATTTTCATCCTTCTTTTTCTTTTGGTTTTGGTATTTTTCTATTCTACCTTTCATAAATTCATACATCTCCAAAACTGGAATATATTTCTGCAAACTAACAATGTCAAAAAATGTAGCCCATGGTATGTACTTCTGCATTCCTATATTCATACTTCTCCAATGATATAAATTTCCTATAAAACATTGCTACAATTAATAGTAAAATATTTACAATTATATTTTCAGAATAAATTAGTCATTATAGGATCATACATACCCCATGGAGGTAGAACCAACTGCCAATCATATTTTGTATCATTGTCAATTAAATTTCTTAAGAAAACAGCTGCTCTTATGTACACATCCCGTCGTAGATTGAATCCCTCCGGTAGGTTAACATCATACAATATATACCTAAGGAAACGAATTACGTGACACTACCAGATCTATACTTTTCAGAACTCGTTCATATTTTTATATTTGTGTTTATGAATCATTATCCTAATGTTTTTAGGTTTTTTCTAACCGTCTCTTTGAATAATTGCGACGAATTGTGCATTCTTCTTGAATGTTTGAGATTCCATCTGGTTTTTTACAATATTCAAAAGATTCTAAGCATTGACAAGCTACAAACAACAAAGTAAAACTTAAAATCTTGAAAAAAATGACACGTACATACATTATTTTCCGTAATGAATCTAAATGCCTATATCTATGGTTATTCCATCGAAGTTGAGATATAAAGGGTGCGAACAGACCACAGAATCTGGCCCACGCATCGACATATAGTACTGGACTGCTCACTGTAGCCGCACAAAGTGTAACCGGGAATAGAAAGAGAGAGCGAATCGTTAAAACCGTTCTGTCCTTCTCTTGGGCAAGAACGAAATCAGGAATAAGGGAACCTCGCGCAGTAAAATGTATGTTTCACGATGAACTTTATTTATATATTTTATAAGTTTAAGAATTGATTTAATGTTATGTTAATCATAAAATTTAAGGTTATATTTCTACTGTACTTACTTGTGAAAGCTTATCGTATTGGGCTCAAAATATATGTCTCGCGGTAGCCCACATTTAAGACAGCGAATCATCATTTTTTTTAGTAATATTGAATTTTGATAAACACTTCTGTCTTCATGATTCGACTGTAACAACGTACATTATAGATGTGTGGAGTAATCTTTCACGTGGTTCTTTTTTTGCATATTACATTCCTGATCTCCTTCCATTCAGAAAACCTTCGACCGATACAAAAATGCCAGAAAAGAACAGAACGGTCCTAACGATTCGCTCTCTCTTTGTGTTCCCGGTTACACTTTCTGCAGCTACAGTAAGCGTACAGACCTCCGTGAACTTGGCCGGCACACTTTGACTTTTTGAACTTTTTCTTTTGCAGATCATTTCTAGGTCGTTTGTAGGTATTTGTAGGATTAATTAAAACGTTTGTCGGTTAACGGTTTTTTAAAAACATCAATAATAAAAATGTACATTAAGTTGGCCGTTACTTTTTTTATTTTTTTTATCTATCTTTGTTTTTCACGTGGCCAATCGATGCGGAATCGTTTGTAGGTCATAGACAATCCAATTAGTATATTTCTCGGATTGTTATTTCAATAAAATAAGCAAAAAACGTATTTGGTGAATTTTACGCGGGACGGTCATATGACCACGGGAAGTTGACCGCAAAAATCGTAATTAATGATAAATGTTTATTTCATTGGTACTTGATGGATTCGAAATCGTTTGTAGGTTACAAATAAAGTAATTAGAACGTTTGTCGGTAACTGGTGCGAAAAATAAATGTAAATGACCGGATCGTCCCCGGTGCCGGCAGCGGTAATTGATGTCTGCAAGAAAATATTTTGGCAGAAAAATGTCTTTTTTGCAAATACCACTAAAGTGCAAACATTGTCATAAGTTTTCGTAATTTAATTGCAATCATATGACCATCCCGCTTAAAATTCACCAAATACGTTTTCTGCTTATTTTATTAAAATAACAACGACAAACATACTAATTGGATTATCTGTGACCTACAAACAATTCCGCATTGATTGGCCACGTGAAAAACAAAGATACGTAAAAAATAAAAAAATTACGGCCAACTTAAAGCAAATTTTTATTTTTGATTTTTTAAATAAACCACTGCACTAAGGCACAGCACCACACCTCCGTAACACTCACAGGAATTCAGAGAACTTCCAGCTAATCCGTGGAGGTCGAGAACTGCATCCAAAGGACACTCTGGGGAGCACTGCACCTCCGGAACACTCACAGGAAATCATAGAATTGCCTGGATATCGCGAGAACAATGCGAGAACTGTACGAACCGAGAACTTGCTATACCGTAGCGAAACACGGCAAGAAAAACTATCAACAGATAGCACGGGAGCACGAGCCAGCCCGTGACACCTCGGTCGGTGCCCCGAGACAGACTGCTTTGACAATAGCCAAATCCGAGAACTAATCATTCTGATTGGTCGAGAGCCTTATACCCGATAACTCTTCTATCTCCTTCGAGTCGTCCCTTTAAACCAAATCGAGAGCGTTCCTTAGCGAATCGGTACATAATCTTTGGAGATCCTCCACGGCCGTTTCCCCTGAGCATCGGGCGACAGCTGGGCACCACATCCTTAACTCGGGCAGGAGGTTCCTCTCCTGCCCTTAACCATATCAAAACTTCCTCCGCCCGCTCTACAGCCCTTTGCCCATCTCCAGCGGGGCGCCGGTAACTCACCCGGGCTTCTGCCGGTCCGTGGAGACGTCTCCGTCGGGTACTCTTCTCTGCCGGGCAACTCGGTACATCGAGACTATCTCCCCACGGCAGATTCGAGTACCTCGACCTCAACTAAACAATAACAAAATCTTACGAGAGCCTTGACATAACTATACGAATCAACCCGAGAGCGTAGCTTTTGAGCAGGGTGGCGACCCGAAGAGAACCAGAAATCGAGAACGTTATCTGTATCGGTAACCGGAGCCGCCTTGGGACCGTGATTCGAAAAATCACGTCACACCGTTAACCGACAAACGTTTTGATTAATCCTACAAATACCTACAAATGACCAACAAACGATTTGTAAAAGAAAAATTTCTAAAAGTCAAAGTCCTCCGGCCAGGTTCACGGAGGTAATGTTTTATTACTAGGTAAACATGTATGAACTGTTGAACAATCATTGCTTAGATTGTGTGAAAAATAGTAGGCCAAACCAACAAGAGTTTCTGTGTTACATATAAAGGCAGGATTAGCCAAAAGTTAAAAAGAGCCATAGCTGATCTATTAGCTACGGCTTTAGGTTTGGCCTACTATTTTTTACACAATCTAACCAATAATTGTTCAACAGTTCATACATGTTTACATAGTAATAAAACATTTCTGAAGATAACCTCAATGAGGGTCGAAACGTAAAGGAAATACGTACTGTCTTTTTTTCATAATTTTACCTGGACTGCGTAAGGTCAACACCTCGAAAGAAAAATTATGATTAAAACCCGTCGACAATTTCAATAACTGATAAGATACATCTTTGCTGCCTGAGCTGGGCTAGCTGCTAACTCGGGCCAGAAATGAGTAGGGAGATTGCCAATGGGCCTGTTTTTACCTCAATGAAGTTAGCCGGGCAATTTTAACTTTTTAACTTTTTATCATACCAAATCGATTGGTGGTCGTTTGGTGGTCATTGGTGGCCAAATAAAAACATTTGGTGGTCAGTCATTCTTTTATAATCAAATAATCAAAATTTGACCGTGAAGTTAGCCGATTTTTTTTTTAACGAATTAAGTTTTTCAGGTGCTCAATCGATGCGTAATCGTTTGGTGGTAACGAATATCATAATTAAAATGTTTGGTGGTCGTTAGTTTTCGTAAAAAAGTAAAAAAACTATTGCAGTATCCAGCATTGACTGGATATGGGTGTAGGAACACACATGTACGGTCGATAAAACAGATATTTCTGAACAGATTCTCCCTTCGAAAGAATTAATCAATGCAAGAACGCTAGTCGATGATTGGTAGTCTAATTAAAACATTTGGTGGTCATTTCTCAATAATTTATAAAGCATTAAGCGTATTCCTCTGTACACTGTTATTCGACGCCGCGGTACACTTGCAGGGATTTTCACTTCGCCGAGATAAAGACATTCTTCTGAGGCGATCTGAACCCTGATTACATCATTACATTCTTAAAGTCACGCGGCTTGGGAAACGGGTAGAATCGAGGACCAGGCCTTACCAATTAATCAGGATACGTTTTTACGACTTAAAGCAGATTCGCGTCAACAATACGGTAATAATCGAAAATGTATCACACGCTACAGTTTTATAATATACATAATGTGTCTTACAAAATACGGTGTTCTATTTTACCACGGGTACACTTATCTCCTTAGGATAATTAAAAAGTTACCGACCGGTGGTCAATGCATAATTACCGACCGTGATAGGACCCTGGGGGCATGCAACGCCGCTGCTATTGAGTTTCGGGCCTTAGGACTAGGTTCGCATGGTGGGGGAGCAACAACATAGGTTGGCGGTGGGGAGAGCCCACCACATTGGCGAGGGGGTGACGCCATAATGCAGTACGGGGGGACAGAGCGCTGCGCGCTCCATGACTCACAGGGGACGGTGGTGGGGGTTTGTTGTGACGGCCAGAAGTGGTATGTAACTACTCACGTCTACCCCCACCTCTGAAAATTGGGCGAGTTGCAAGACCTGTATGTAAGACCGTACCAGCATTGACTGGATATAGGTGTAGGAACACACATTTACGGTCGATAAAACAGATATTTCTGAACAGATTCTCCCTTCGAAAGAATTAATCAATGCAAGAACGCTAGTCGATGATTGGTAGTCTAATTAAAACATTTGGTGGTTATTAATTAATGCACGAGGTATGCTCGCCGTGCAGCGGAGGTATGATTATTCATACCTCGTGCATTAATTGATGACCACCAAATGTTTTAATTAGACTACCAATCATCGGCTAGCGTTCTTGCATTGATTAATTCTTTCGAAGGGAGAATTTGTTGAGAAATATCTGTTTTATCGACCGTAAATGTGTGTTCCTACACCTATATCCAGTCAATGCTGGTACGGTCTTACATACAGGTCTTGCAACTCGCCCAATTTTCAGAGGTGGGGGTAGACGTGAGTAGTTACATACCACTTCTGGCCGTCACAACAAACCCCCACCACCGTCCCCTGTGAGTCATGGAGCGCGCAGCGCTCTGTCCCCCCGTACTGCATTATGGCGTCACCCCCTCGCCAATGTGGTGGGCTCTCCCCACCGCCAACCTATGTTGTTGCTCCCCCACCATGCGAACCTAGTCCTAAGGCCCGAAACTCAATAGCAGCGGCGTTGCATGCCCCCAGGGTCCTATCACGGTCGGTAATTATGCATTGACCACCGGTCGGTAACTTTTTAATTATCCTAAGGAGATAAGTGTACCCGTGGTAAAATAGAACACCGTATTTTGTAAGACACATTATGTATATTATAAAACTGTAGCGTGTGATACATTTTCGATTATTACCGTATTGTTGACGCGAATCTGCTTTAAGTCGTAAAAACGTATCCTGATTAATTGGTAAGGCCTGGTCCTCGATTCTACCCGTTTCCCAAGCCGCGTGACTTTAAGAATGTAATGATGTAATCAGGGTTCAGAT